TCTCTCTCTCTCTCTCTCTCTCTCTCTCTCTCTCTCTCTCTCTCTCTCTCTCTCTCTCTCTCTGTCTCTCTCTTTGCGTGTGTGTGTTGTAGATTTTCACCACAACAGCCCCTGTTCCACTCAGATGAGTAGATCCAGAACCGAAGCAGCTGTACCTCTATTGCAGACAATGATGCACACTTGAGATGAGACACTACAACCATGAAACAGCTTTACCTCTATAGCAAGCAACATGGAGCAGACTAGATCTGTTACATTCCTTTCTTCACTATCTTTACTTCGGCTTTCGTTGGGATGCCCCTTTTATTTGTTCTTGCAGCACCCTTGTGCCTCTCAAGTGCAAGGCTGGTCATGTTGATTGTGGTTGAGCACCAGCTGCCCCACATCCCCATGTGCCATACTGGCCCACTTGCACGTTATGAAAGGAGACAGAGTGAAGGGCGAGGTATACTCCTGTTCCTTTTTCTTCAGATCTTCTGCTTATATTTTCTGTCCTCTTAATGAGGCTCATTCGTATGCATTTACAAGTAGTACAGTGTGTGTGCGTCTGTGTGTGTCCGTGTGTGTCCGTGTGTGTCCGTGTGTGTCCGTGTGTGTCCGTGTGTGTCCGTGTGTGTCCGTGTGTGTCCGTGTGCATGCAGTACAGTGTGTGTGTGTCTGTGTGTGTCCGTGTGTGTCCGTGTGTGTCCGTGTGTGTCTGTGTGTGTCCGTGTGTGTCCATGTGTGTCCGTGTGTGTGCATGCATGCGGCTTTACGTTGCCTCACCCACATTCTGAGTTGATATAAAAGATCATCTCTTTTTGAAAGCAGCAGAACTTCACCCAACTTGGCAACCACTCTCCTGCAGAGTACTACGGAGAGGAAATCTGATGTTTGTGGGTGACTGATCCATCTCTTTTTTTCCTTTTTTAAAAGGGCAATAGCCTTGAGATATCATCGTGAAACTGACCGGCCCCTGGTAATTCGGGAATTTTGTTCATCATCTGGTTCCTTTTGGATTCGAGCTCAGGTCTCCATTTCAATTTTCAACAGTTTATCTGTGTACCAACTGTGCTAACCCCGTTGGTAGGTGACTGATCCATCTCGCTAGCAACCTTGGTGGCCAGTTTGACCTTGGCAAGGTGCAGAAATTGTCAATCCAGCGATTCATCTCTTCACCACTGGGCAAGCGCTAATCAGTGCACAAATGACCTGCGCACAAGTTCACCCCAGTGCAATTCTCCTAACAAACATGACCCTGATCTGCATTTCGACCTGCTTCCTGCGCACAACACCCTGATCACCCACCACAGCAGCACTCTATCCCTGCAAAGATTGGCGCACAAGGTACGAGCAGGCGGCACAATATAGCGCATACTCACACCTGGACTTCTTTCGATTCTTAATTTGATCATATCATATACATGCAAGGAAAGTCGCCAGTATAGACGTCTTTCCCTTGACCTGGGTGGCACGACTTGAGGCATACTCACACAACGATGTTTTCAAATAAATCTTGACGATGTTTTCAAATAAATCTTGACATTATTATGGTCACACACATCGAGGAAAGTCACCAGCGTGCGTGTGCCCTCTACCTGAGCTAGGCATACCCTGTCACGAAGGTGTGTAAGACAGCGTGCTGCGGGGCTTGATTCGGAGGTCGAGTTATAACTCTAAGCTTTTTTTCTCGGGGTATGGTAAGGCTAGGCTTGGTAGCTGTATCACACAAGAGAACAATGACACCTTACGGATACTACCGAAATGAATAGGAATTCGCTCCATCTAAACGACAAGATTGGATGTTTCTGACTTCATCAGAGGCCAAGTACACCGATCCAAAAGTCATTGATTCCACTTCATTGCCCAGCCATACTAAATTCATAGTCCACAGCACCACATTGACCTTACCATCAATTCCATATTCTAGGTTCCTTTGTTTGCATCAGGGAGATTAACTCCAAATCAACAATGCAATGGAGATTTAGTATTTACATATTGCAGCATAACCACATTGTCCCCCTGCATAGAAAACAAACTCATTCTCCTACGCCACTCGGTCTGATTTGCGGGCAACCGCCCGCTCTGTAAGTACTGCTTTCTACCCCCAGGAAAATCGCAGTCCGTTTGCCAGTGTTGTAGATATCAGTGGCTTCGTGTGGGGCAAGCTTTGGCGTGCCATGTCATCACACCATTATCCCTTTGGTCAGCTAGTGTGTTGTTGTTTATAAGATCGGCAACGTGGTGCTTGCCGCTGCAACTTCGGCCAATTATTTTACTCTCAGCCAGCTGATTATGGTTTGTGATGACCATTTTGCGGTTTTTTTGCTTCATGCATCCATCATTGCATGTACCTACCGTAAAGATTTAAACAGTAAGCAATGCTCAACCATGACTGCCGTCTCTAGCCCTATAGCATAGCCGTCTATAGGTATGCTCAGGCACCCTAGAATACAGCCCTCCATAGTTAAGATCCCCGCATTGAAGAATTGATAAATTTATGTGCCAATGCATGACAGGGCGAGCACCGCAAAGCATCAAACACTCTCCAAAGAATAAGAAGAACAAGCTAAATCAAGAATATAACCCTCCATATCTAAGATTGATTTCCATGCACGTGTGCTGCAGGAAAACCACCACCCAGCACCAAAAGCTCACCAAGGAATCAGGAGGACCAGCCAAAGGGGTGAAGATACACATTTTGCACTTTGAATCTACTCCAGAGACTCTATTCGGCTTGTCTGGAGAGTTCCCTGCCCTCAACGTAAGATATTTGTTTAAGCCTTCCCTTTTCCTTGCTTGTAGCATTGTTTTTTCCCCTTCTGGAAACGTGTTTTCCACAAGTCAAAACGCTATGCTGTCAGAGCCACTTTGCAGCATCATTCAGCATTCCCGCTAACATCCAAGACACTTGGGCGACCTGGACACGTCCTAAACTGCAGCTCTAACGCAGGCCATACTCACACTAGGGTCTAGGTATAAAACTGCGGTCGAATACATCAAGCTCTGGCAGTAGCTGTGGTCAGATACTCCCAGGTCTGGCTGTTGCTGCAGCCAAATACAAATTAGGAAAGTCCTACTGTGAGTATGCCCTCATCCATTTATACCAGCATGTGTTTCTTTTTCTTTCCCTTTCTTCTTCCTTCTCTTTAGGTCCATCGATTCGAGCTCGGGTCTATATTTCAACAGTCCATGGGTGTACCAACTGAGCTAGGCCCGTCAGTACCCAGCATGTGTTTCCATCACATCTATCAGCAGCAGCATTCGCCTTCACAACCATCCACTACCATCTTCCCCCGAATAGAACGCCCGGTCATTACAGCTGAATTTAGTGCAACTTTCAGTCTAAGTACGGCAATAATGACCACATTGACCGGACGCTCTCTCGGGTGAAGACGGTAGGAGTAAATGAACAAGCGCCGCAACCATACTAACCAAATAAGAAACTATGATGATGTGGGCCAATCCAAGGTGCATTCAGGTTCTAAGTTCGGGCCGTCGTCAAGGACACTGCAGCCCAGGTCACAACAAGCATCAGGCCCACTGGTGT